GTTTAACATAAAACCTGTCCAGGGCCACTCTGTGATCCCAGTCCCGGGCCGCTTAGCCATCCCAATCCGCCCCTGAAAGTTGTTTCGTTTTTGTGAAGGATGTAATGTTGAATTCTTTAACTTATTTAAAACTAGTTACCCACTTATGTGTCGACGTAATTTAGTTTAACTTATTCATAACAGAGATTAGGTAATTTTATTTCATAGTAAACACTGATGTTGGCTTTATCACATTGTATAATAAAACTAGTAATAAGCCTTTTACAAACAGTTGTTAAATATAGTAAAGTAGAGAAAATGTTTGATTTTCAAGTATAAATACAACCTTTTCAAAGGCAATAATAGCACACTGTTGAAGTCAGGTTATTAAGATTTTTTCATACAATACACAACTTCAGAATTTCATTATTGAACACTGATTGTAAATATAGTTTATTGTATTTTATGTATTTATAGCTTTATTCAGACTCTTTACAATCACACCTAATCACTACATTTTTAGTAATTCCATTTCATGTTGATAGCTCCGGAGTTCTTTCAGCAAAGCATTTTCTCGAAGTAAAAAAAACAAAAATGGCTCTGTATCTGATGTGGAAGATTTGAAACAGTTTTTGTCAGATTCTTCTACTCCTAGTTCTCCGTCTTTTGGATTCCATCACGTGAATAGCCAAATACTAAGTCAAACTATCAAATCCTCACATTCATCATCTGCGTAAGTATATGTTTGGTGTGCAATTAAGTTTTTTTATTGACAAAGAGAGCGTAAGTGTAAAGTGTAAAGTAAGTGCACGTTACTGGAACTTGAACTTTTGCATGCAAAGGATACAGTAACTAATGGTGACTGTCAGAAAGAGATAGTGCTAATAGGACTAGAAATAGTGGCTTAAATTGGAATATGTAGATTCTGTTAAGTAGCATATTTAAGCACTTACCTTGTGTAGATGAGGAACTAGGAGAGGGAAAGAAAACAAAAGGGACAGATAGGGATGGGAATGAAAAACATAAAGAGGATATAGTTAGAGATGATTCTTCAGTATGACACGTGGATAGTTTAAAATTGAATAATAAAAACAAACCTCATTAATTAACGGAGCCTCTAAATTAGAAAACAACAAATATATATATTTTTTAATTTCGTAGTTTATACATTTCATTTTATACTTTCAGCACATAGCCTCTTAACAACAATATTAAATTATACTTTTCTTGCTAAGCAATATTATATGAAAGCCATTGTTGGAACACATTATTATCAAAACGCACTGGCTATTCTATATATTAGAAGTTGTTATATAAGGAACCACTTATTTTCTATGTGGTTTTGCGCTAGGTTACCTCATTAAAAAGATGCGCGCGCCCGCACATACGTGCGTGGATAAGTAATAATACCAAGGTGCACACCTTCATGGTCCACTTAGTATTTGTGCAAAATTTCAGGTTTCTAGGTTCTTTCCTCTTGAAGTTATGGTGGTCACACACACACACACACACAGACCCACAAAAACTCCCTTTTATTATTATAGATTGTCTTCTATTATAAAGAAACGGTTGTTGTACATATCACAGTTATTTTTCTAATTGTCTGAATGTTGAATACACAGTGTGAAAATCTTTATGGATTTTTGTTTGTGATGCCATTCAATAGATGGCGCCACATTCTACACATACATATTCGGCCACATACATAAATACATATTTACCTACTACGTCCTTTATAGTAAAATAACAGTTTAGCCTACCATTAAAACTACTTCTGTACTTTGTTCCTACACTATACATTTCTCTATACCTTATATTTTTCTTCAACATTCTGACCCTCACCACTGTCTAGTCCTAGTTTAAAGCTCCTTTACAGTTGAGTTAATACACCTTGCAAACAAGCCAGTCCCTACCCTGTATTAATGTAAACCAGTTTTCCAAAAAAAACGCTCCCTTTAGGCATTTCACTGATTCTACAAATCCATCCAGCTCGTCCTTACACATCAATCTAATATTCAGCTCCAGTGATCTACTTAGAATTTCATCCCTATAATTAACATTTGACAGAATTAACTTATTATGGCTATTTTCTTTAAATGCCTTTATCAGTTCATTGTACTTAACAATAAAGCTACTCTGATCTTTCCTTCCCTACATCATTAGCCCCTAGGTGCACTAAAAAGACTGCATCACTGCTAACACCCTTCACTATATCATTTTCTCTCCACCCCTGCCCCTGGATAGCATAATCTAATTATTTTCTTCCTATTTATCCCCCCCCCCCGACTATTCGGAGGACAAGTCAGAGGGAAAGTTACCTTTATAAACAGGCTACATCCCGTAAAGGAGCAACAAAAGTATATATGTAATACTTTTATACTAAAATAGGTTCAGAATACACACACTGGCATAGTCATCTAGAATAAATCAACGTAATAACCTAGGCGAAGCCGGGTACTTTCGCTAGTTTTAAATAAAAGAACCCTCTCACAACAAGAACGTGACTTTCACTAGGACTGTACATGAGAGTTAGATTATATGTTTATTGATGTAATTTTTAATTGTACTACTGAGAAACTGAAGTTCTTAAAAAATCATATTTTTTCAATAAAGGGTACCACATTTACTTCATGTTACTGGTTGAAACTTGAAACGTTTCCTGAGTAAAGTAGAATACCACATGCTCCTAATCTCTCATCATGCAAATGAAATGTATAAAATACTAATTTTTCTCATTTAATACGTTTATTTGTAGTTAAGCACAAAGCTACACAAAGGGCTATCTGTGCTCTGCCCACCACGGGTATTGAAACCCAGTTTTTAGTGTTGTAAGTCCGCAGACATACCGCTGTGCCACTGGGAGGCAGATGGAAACAAGATGATAACATTAATTCTGGGCTTGTTAAGTAAAAATTGGGAAGTTTCAAGAATGATAAAGCACTTTGGCCAGATAATATTTTCCTCAAGGTTGTGAAGGAGGTTAATGATCAGATATGTAAGCCATTTGCTGCTTTTTTTTTCTTTCTTTTTTTTTATATAAGTCTTTGAATATGAGAATGGAAGTTGGCTTATGTTACAACTTTTTTCTAAAGAGAGTTCATAAAAATTGTTCCAGCAATTATAGACCTTATTAGCCTTACATCAGTTGTGGGAAAAATTTTTAAAAGTCTTATAAAAGATGCTTTCCAAGGTAATTTAACAAAGTTTAAAATTTTATTCAATTTTCCACATGGCTTCACTAGAGGAAAATCTTGCCTTACTAATCACTTGACATTTTGTTTTGTAAATGTTACTGCTTACTTAAATAAGGATACAGGTATGGATTTGGTATATCTAGATTTTCAGAAAACATTTAACAAGGTGCCTCATAAAGGGCTGGTTAAAAATGCTCTCTTTAGGTGTGGGGGATTGTTTGGCTCAGTGAATAGAAAACTGGCTGGGTGGAAGAAAGCAGAGGGTTGTTATAAATGGAGTTCAATCAAACTGTATTTTAGTCATGGTTCAATGTTTGTTGATTGATTTACATCAGTAACATAGATGAAAGAATTGCTCAATAAATTATTTAAATTTACTGATGATATTAAGACTTAAAGTGTTGCTGGTTGTGAGGATGATGATGCTGCTTTGCTAAAGGATTTGGATTATTTGGTGAGTTTGGCAAATAAATGGTAGATGGCTTTTAATTATAATGAATGCAAGGAAATATATATGGGATATCATTATTTGAATTATGAGTATAATTCTGATGAGAATAACCTTAACAATGTTATGGGGGAAAATAATATTTGTCTTCTAATTGATCAGCCTCTTAAACCATCCAAGCAATGTGCTGTTGCTAGTGGCAGGACAAATAGTATTTTAAGTTGTACCTACAGAAATATTGTATATAACCTAATGAGGCTAGTTATAGTTTTTTTTTATAGGTCATTGATTAGACTATATTTGAAGTATTGTGCTCAGTCTTGGTTGTCTACCTTCGGAAGAACATTGAATTTTTGAAAATGGTTCAGAGGAAGGCTATTAGAATGATACCTAGGATGGAAGGGTTGTCATATGAGGACAGATTAAGATCTCTGAAATGATTTTTTCTTGAAAAAATAAGGGATAAAAAGGATCTGATTGAGGTGTTTAAAATTGTGAAGGAAATTGATAGTGTTGTTGCACAATCTTTTTTTTCTATTTAATGGTAAGAATAATAAAACTAGGGTACACAAATATATATTTTGTCAGGGTAGGAGTCATGTTCAGCTAAGCCAGTTTTACTTTTCTAACTAGGTTGTTAGCTTTTGAAATGGGTTGCCTTAAGATATTTATGGAAGCTGTTAATTTAAGGGAGCTTACCAGAAGGCTTGATAAATATTTGAATGATAAGCACTAGCTTTTGAGTGTTTTAGTTTAGTTTAGCGATTGGGATGGCCTAGATGAGCCAACGGGTTTCTTGCTGTTCTTAAATGTATTTATATCTAAAAATTTTAACTAAAGACTTACCTAAGATTTTTGAATTACTTTAAAGTTTTATTATTTTCATTAGGATAAAAAAATCACTTTGAAGAACTCTATACTTCAATTTATTGTAAAAGCTTTGAAATAATATTAACTTCTTTGTTTTATGTTTTAAAATATCTTCTGTAAGTTATTTATTTCAACAAACTGCTGAATACATTTTACTCCAATATACTTTAAGCATTTCAACCAATTTAAAATTATATGTACTTTATTTATTTTAACAATGCTAAAAAATTTGTATGAAACAAGCTCTTAAAGATTTTCTTTGTTTTTGGGAATGTATTTTATATTTTACTAGATGAATTAGTAAAGTTTCAAACATATAACATTAACACATGCTGATTTAGAAGGTGTGAATAATGGTGTAAAACTCATTAGATGAAAAACATTGGCACAAGAAATGTAAATATTCTTTCTGAGTACATTACATACACAAATATTGGCACAAGAGTAGTATTTAAAACATACAAATATCGCTAGAATTAAACATAGGTTGAAAGTTGTTTGTTAGTGTTCATTTTTTAAGCTCATTCCATTCAGGTTGCATGAAAAGGATGAAGAGATATCTTTAGAACTGGTCAACAGTTTAAAGAAGCAACTCAGAGACAAGGAAATGGTGATCACAGACATTCGTCTGGAAGCTCTAACATCTGCCCAGCAGCTAGAAGCATTAAAAGAAACTGTCAACAGAATGCAGGTATTTAAATAGAACTTACTGGATTAGTTGTCTCCTAAACCTACATACATGTGATGCAGCATTGGCAGACTAACAAAAATTTTTTGTAATGTAGGATGCAAACTCTTCTGGTAAGAATTTTTTCGAGGACAAGTATTCTAGTTTAATTATTCTTTAAATTCATCTGGTTTGTGATATATGTACATACACAATCACACACACACACACACTCACATGAAATTAATTTGAATTTTTATCTTTATGCAAAATGCATAGGAGATGCTGACAAAAAGTAATTATGTCTCTCAAAGAAGCAAACATACCTTAATTTTCTTACCTATGATAGATTATTTTATCACAAAATTTTTGAAGTCATGAATTTACCCTTTTCAGGTATTTCTATAGAAAATATAAATATTTATTTTTAGTACCACATACCTTTCATATATATGTATATATAAATATATACATATATATAAATGTATATATTACATGTATATAAATCTTGTTTTCTGTAAATGTGCCAGTCATTTAGGAAAAAACTAGAAAATTTCTGTCCATTAAATATTATTATTATTATTGAAATAATTGTATCAAGTATAGTACCTATGAATTATAGATATTTATAACATTTTAAGGTAACGTATTATCATGCTGATTTTTTGCTTATGAATATAAAACACAATTTTGTTATCTTTCATCTTCTTTTGTCAATATTTTCTTAGAATGAAATGGTGACTTTGAAACAAGACAATAGTCAGCTACAAAAACTGGTATCTGTCAACTCTCTCACATCTTCTCAGAGTTCTCTACCTCAGATAAATAGTGTTGAAAGTCTAGAGAAGAGATTAAGTACCTCAACACCCTCAGAATCACCCTGTACTGGTAAGATACTTACTTTATTGTGCCTCAAATAAAATGTTAAAAGTCTTAGATGAGGTTGTTATTGTCAACTAGATTTTAATGTTTAATGAAAATTTATAGTTATATACACATGATATAAAAGGTATTTATAAAACTAATTTCTTTTCACACTATGAAAATAACTTATGGAAATCAGTTTTGACATATAAGAAATTAAAAAAAAAGTCAGTTCAAATATTTTTATATTTTGAATGGTCATGAAGAATGTATTTTATATGGTGGTTTGATATACATATTCTGAATATTTTTCTATGCTACCCTAAAAGTATTTGGTTCAAAAACAAATTTGTATTTTGTATTTCTTCTCATAGATACATTTTTCAGTCATACAGCAAATAATCATGATGGAAAACATGTCACCATATCAGTATTTCTAGGTCTTCATGGTGATTGTACCAAATTCAAAACACAAAATGAGGTAAAGATACATTTATTTTCAACTCTTGTAAATATTTTCATGTTATAGATGAGAGAATTTAAAATAATGTAATTCCTTTGGAATATGTAACATTTTAACATTTTGATTAAATGTAAAGGTATTGGTATTGACAAAATTATGAAAGTAGCAAGGGTGTGTCTATGGGAGTGGTGTGGGAACAAACCCCATTGGAGAGCTCTGACCCCCATCAACCCCCCATCTGAAATATAGTCTTTTAAGATTTTCAACTTCTCTACAGTGTAACTCCCACTGATATTATATTGTTTTTTCTGGCCATCAAACTCACTCTATTCCCCCTTATGCTCTCCCTAAATAAAATATCCCAGAAATGACACTTGAATGTGGATATGAATAAGCAGTTGTTCATGATACTAAACACATCAACATATAATTAATTTTATCTCATAGAATATGTTTTTGTCTTATATTTGTAATAAAAACTTATTTTTGTTTTCTTAACATAAATTAACAACATATACGTGGGTTCTTGTTAGGTTATTAAATGCCACACTACATTAATTTTGAAATGAATTTGTTGAAAGAATCTACTACTCTCAAAATATTTGATGGTGGGTGTTGCTGTGAGAATAGCAAAAATAAATCAAATACCAGGTTTAACCATTATGTGATTTCTTTCTAGAACACCAGTGAAGTTGTTATTGGAGATTTAATAGTCAATGCTAACATGAGGTGGGACGTAATGGACAGTGTAGTAAAACAGACATTTAAGGTACAAAAATTCGACATTTTGTGTAAAAAAAAAGTGTATTAAAGGAATGTCAGTTTTAATTCGGTTTTCATTTATGACAACTAAACTATTGAAATTTTGTTGATAATTAACCTTCAAAATAAAAAATGTGGATTTAGTCTATCTTACTGGTTAATTGACATTTTTGAATAGGAATAAAAATCGCTGTACTGTAAAACTATTTTTTGTCTGTATATCATCTTCTCTTTCTACAAAATAAACATTTATTTTCCAAAATTCATCATGTTTTTAATACATAAAGCTTTTTGCATAAGTTTTTTTTTAAAACTACTTAGGTGATGGATATGTAAAATTATAAATAATAAAATCTGTAATTTAAACATTTGTTTGTTCTGAATTTTCTGTTTGTTTTTTTTCTTAACAGGAATATCTCCAAATGGTTGATCCCCTGTCAAATCTGGGTTTAAATACTGAAAGTATTTTAAGTTACTGTATGGGAGAAATTGTACGAGAAAAAGGTATTAATTAAGTTTATCAATTATTTTCACCACATGGACAATATTACTAATATTGGAAAATTTCATACAGTGCAATTAGATATAATTGTTCATATGGTATGATTTAATAGGATAATCTTTTCTGATGTTATCTGTTTACTTAGCTATTGATATATAATATATATATAACTAGTAAGGCAAATATACAAGTTGTCTTCATGAAGGAAAATATATGAACACAACACATTTTCCTTATGTATATATGTATATATTTCCATTTTGCAAATAGCCATGAATTTTGGATATTGTTTAGGTAATAATAAATAATACTTTATAGATAATATTCAAATTAATTCATGGCTATTTTTTCCTTCTATAATAAAGTGCCCTTACATACTTGCAACTTAAATTTGAATAGTATTTTAATCAATGTGTTTAAAACTGAATAATATTTTAACACCTTTTTTAAAAATTTGCCACACTTGAAATAACTATTAATTTCACCTTTCCAAAACTAGTTTAGAATACTTCTTTAGTAAGTTATATATATATATATATAGAGTTGATTTTTTTTTCTAAATTTCTGTGAAGTTGTTATTATAGTTATGATAACCTTTGAATGGGATGTTTGAAGGCGTAAACATGTACTGATCCTTTTTGCTTAGGTAAAAATTACATACTTCATTGGCTAACCTTATGTCTGTGTCTACTCCCCATGGTGGGGCAAGGCCATCTTAAGGAATGGCACAAGTACTTGTAGAAGTTGGTTTGAGTTGAGAATTCTCTTTCTTTTATATGTTGTTTGAAATAATGATGTAGGTAATATAAGGTATGTAGAATACAGCATTAGGACTCTAGTCTGTCTTGAAAATATGGTAATACCTTATTATTTCTTTGGCCACTGTCTTTGTGTGAATGTGTATTTTTAGTTTATCTTTTTTTCTTCCTTTGCGGACATGATTGAAAACCTCTCTCCAGTCCCTGCAGCCAGTTTGAATCCAAATAAATATAGAGGTCAGCCAATAGACAAAATACATTACACTATTGTGAATAACGATTATCTTATTTGTTTACTTGTATCTGATTGTGTCCCCTTTCTGTTCAAGTTCATTATAATTATCTGAATAACATTTTCAGGTGTTTTGGTGAAACTTGATTCTTATTTATTAGACATCACTCTACCTGAATACCACAAATTCAAAGATATTATCATAGCAATAAGGAGAGTATTATTCTTATGTATAAGTGAAGTTACCCCAAAGTGTTCCAATTTCTTCATCAAGTGTCGGAAGTTGGCTTAACTTAGAATGTATTATCATAGCAATAAGGAGAGTATTATTCTTATGTATAAGTGAAGTTACCTCAAAGTGTCCCAATTTCTTCATCAAGTGTCAGAAGTTGGCTCAACTTAGAATGTTTTTTTTCTTCTATGTGAACATATGTTTGTATATCACTATAAATATCTAGTTAGATGTGAAAGAACTTGCTTCTAAAAACATTTTTATCTAACAGATTCTGAAGATCCTGAGTTGTTGCCCTGTGATTGCATTGTGGCTAATAACATGCAAATACAAATAACCCTTAAAGGTTAGTTTATTTTTCTGCTGTCTATTTTGCAGACTTTTGAAATTATGTTGTTTTGGAATTATAAGAAATTTTATTCAGGTCTGTTTCATTGGGCTTGTCTTCTTAATTTAGCATTTATAGATACGGATACTCAAACAAATTACTGTAATAATCGAAGTTTAAACTCTGTTTCCTGTCTAACAAACAAAATACATAATTCACTTTCTGAAACATCTACTTAGCTAAATATTGGAACTGTTCAACACTCCTTACTGTTTGTATGATTCAATAGGTTGTGAAAGATGGGTGTAGTTGTTACTTATTAACAACATTGTTTCAATCTCTTTTTTTTTCTTTCTTTTTTTTGTCCAACCAGCTTGATACATGTTTGATTCTCTCTGTGTGGAGTATGTTTAAAAAATAAGAGATACAGTTTGCAGCATCGTTTCAAACATAATCTAATATACAATTATTTCATAATTAGATGCTACTATCATTCATTTTTGTGTCGAAAAATTCTTATAATTAGAATTTTCTTAGTTTGTTTCACATACACATGTTTATCATTGACTTGAATTAGTCCAGCATGTTTGTATCAAAACATTTACTTTCAATTTTCTTTTTAAAACAGGAACAAATCAGAATTCTGTTGATGGTCTCACATTTGAAACACTGATTCCCAAGTCCGTAATTCAGCGTTATGTGTCATTATTGACGGATCACAGAAGGATAATTTTGTGTGGGCCAAGTGGTACAGGTAAAACCTATCTTGCCCAGAAGTTGGCAGAGTTTCTAATTTTGAGGTATGTATTTTACTTTAAAGAATACCTTGAAAGAATTTAACAAAATGTACTGGCAAAAGTAACAGAAAATTTAGTTTAAGATAGTGTGTTTGTTTGTTTACATTATTAAAAGTATGCCATTGTTTTTTCTTCAAATATTTTAATATTTTGCATGATGATCACAAATTACAATCAAAGGCATCATTAGAATTTAAAGATTTAGTTTTATAATGAATTTCAGTATAAGAAGATCACTGACAAATTCCCCTATATACATCTTTATGAACACACTGTGAAAATACAACCTGTGACACGCAAGATTGGTGTTTGAATGGCTGCAACATAAGTTGTGAGCTAACAAAATGTAACACAGATATGTTAGTTAATGCACAATATTAGTTGTATTTTATGCTATTTGCATAGACATAATAAAATGTGACTTCACTATTAAAAGTAAACAGAATTTTGAATTGGAAAACTGCATGTGTTCTGTGGTACTAGAAAACACAAAAAACTTGTGTGTTTATATTGCTACAACAATTTGTTGTGTTATGTTCACACAAGTCTTTGTTTGGAGAACAGAACTTGTGTTGTTGTGAAATGACAGTGTTTTTGCTAATTTATAACAGAACCTTTTCCTTACAGTTTCCTACTGCAGTAGTAGAGCCCAAGATCCTTCCTTATATAAAAGACAGCTCCAAATCAAATGTATACACATATTGTGAATGCATAAGAAATTCAATAATTATATAACAAATAACCAGCAAGGCAAATAAAGTGTAGATGTATACTTTCTATTCATTCCTCTACCAGAAGTCCTATGTAACTAATTATGATTTCAGTGAATGTGATGAAACAGTAGTTAATAGTTAAAATATTCTCTCGTAAAACAAGTTGTATATAGTTAAACATAAGTTGTATATAGTTAAACTGAGGAACGGAATAATTATAAAACCTGTTATAATCAAGAGTTTATTATTATGACATGAATCGTTTGTAGTCAATATTTTTACTTAATAGAATAAGAAAGATATTGCTACTTTGTCCATATATATTTCTCTGTTTTAATTAGAAATATGAAAGAAATCAGTCCTGGTGCTATTGCAACATTTGGAGTTGACCACAAGTCGGCTAAAGAGCTTCGACATTATCTATCTAATGTAGCAGAGCAATGTGAGAGTAGGTAAGATAAAGAACAAAGAAGCATTTCTTCTTAGCTGAAGGAGTTTCTTAGACTTAAAAATGCTTTTTTGCATTTATAAACATATATAATGAGTATTCGTTGATAGATTGTTTAGGCAGAGTATTCATGATGAAATTTAGTTGAATGGACAGCAGCTTGCCTGTTGTGTAAACACAAGTATAGAGGACAATGTTTCGAAAGTCTTTCACCTTCAGATATGAATATTTAAATGAAATATCTCAAACTGAAACTACCATAATGAGTTTTAAGTTTTCTTACATAAAACAATTTTGTAGCATTGAAAAAAAAAACATGTTTTCCATTTCTTAATTGTAGGATGTATGAAACAGATTTGCTTAACCTAATCATGTTTAAATGGCATATTTGAATAATATGAAAACTATTTGAATCTGTGGACACCTGCGCACAAAAGTAATGGCTGTAAATTAATTTTGAAACATTGTTGTAAATATTTTTGCAGCTATTTCCTGCAGCATTATAATTTTTGTTAATGTTATTGAACTTCTCTTATAAATAAGTATCTTATTATAAGTATCTTCATGAATGATTTGAATACCTGTCTTTCAGTAATCCTTCTGATCTCCCTGCTGTAATAATCCTAGACAATCTTCAACATGTGGGTTCCCTAGGAGAAGTGTTCAATGGTTTTCTCAGTGCCAAATATCAAACATGGTTGGTATTACTTTTCCATTTTCTTTGTGCCTTACTTCTTCAGAGCAAGTATGCTTGATAATTTCAGCTATAGATTTTTTTTTTCTCTAGACTTATAATGCACACAATTGTTGTTATTATTTCGAAGGAAGCCCGGCATGGCCAGTTGGTTAGGGTGCTCGACTCGCAATCTGTGGGTCGCGGGTTCGATTCCTCGTCCCAACAAACATGCTCCCCCTTTCAGCCGTGGTGATGACTAGCTGCCTTCCCTCTAGTCTTTCACTGCTAAAATAGGGATGGCTAGTGCAGATAGTGCAAAATTCAAAATAAATCATTTCAAAGGAATATTACAAACCAAAAATTAATTAATAAGTGTTCAACAAAATGTATGTAAATGATCTTTTTCAATTATATTTGAGTTCTGTATAATAAATTGATTAAAAATAGAAATAATTTTGTAGTATAATTAATTTTTTTATGAGTTTTTATAACTTTGAATAAAGATATTTTGCAATTCTGATAGTTATTCATTTATAATTCAGTTTCTAATTTAAAAGAATCTGACTTGCACACACATACATGACAGTTTAGGACTAAGGTTTGTTAAAATATCTATTTTTGTTTCATGTTTAGTCCATATATTATTGGAACAATGAACCAAACCAACTGCTCAACAACAAATCTCCAATTGCATCATAACTTCAGGTGAGTACTGTGCAAAACAGTTTTAGAATAATATTATGTACATAAGATCATAAATGTTCACGTAAAGATTTTATAACATAATTACAACTTTAGGTAAAATTATGTAACTTAATCAGGGGTGGATCCAGGATTTTCCATAAAGGGGTGTATTATTCTTCTATCAGGTCATAAAAGCTTTTTCAAAAAATTCAGGTTACATTGTCACCTTAGGTTATATAAAAACTGTTTGTTCACAGGCTCATTTATTTTATTTGAGACAATCAGGAGCACTAAGCTGTTAACCCAAACTGTTCATTATGTAGTTCACTGGAAAAGGTGGTTGTTATCTTCTAACCACCTGCCCTCTGGATCTGTGATAATTACAATTTCAGACAAGAGTACGTAATATAATTACAGCTTCAGGCTAGAATTATGTACGTCCTAACAATTTTATTTAGAGATTGTGGTACAGAGTTACACACAAGATAAATATTAGGCTAGGTTTACGTAATGTAGAAGAAAGTATGGATATGTGACATCATCATTATACAACATCAAGAATTTCACAGTCTATTGTAAAGGGTATTTATCATTACCAGAACTCCAAGTAATTGTAACTTAAGATCATCAGAGTTTCAGATAAATATTGTTATGACAGCGGAAGTCACGTGATGCTAGTAACACATCATGAGATTCTAGAAAGATCATGTCCATTGGTCAAACCTCGAGTTTTCTCCAGACGCCCTCTATTTTGTATATATAAGACCGGCGAGAAGTGACGGCATAGAGATGAATAATTGCAGATTGAAGAGATAGGGACGGACAATTGAGTCAAGTGCAGTAGTAATAAAGTGCGTGAATCGTTCGTTATGAATTATAGCGTGGGTTTAAGTTGAAGTGTCTGTAGAAATTAAGTGTATTGCAGAGTTGAATTGAGAAAGAATAAACTAGTT